GGACTTTGAGGCTAAAGAAAACACAGAAAAGTGTGAGCTTTTGAAGTAGGGACAACCACACCCTAGTCAATCTGCTTTTAAACTTGGGTCTTATAGGTGGAAACTGTATGGTAACCGTTTTATGACAGGCCACGGTCTCAGCTATAACGATAGAAATTTCTGCTTTGGCCTCCTTTATCAGATATGGGAACACTAAGAATAATGTTTGCTCTAAATTTATTTACTCAGTTCTGTACTTTTTCTGAGTAAAAACTAGGTCTAAGAGAATCCTTCAGTACAGTAATTAAATAAGTTTGAACTTTGGCAAATCCTGGGGATAAGTCAGAGGTAAGTGGTTTTCATCTTTTCACTTGTAAGGGACACCTCTTATTCCCATCACATAGCCAATGTTCTGATGAAAGATTCTACCTATAGAATAAATTGTATTTATTAAGGGTAGTGTCTTCATTTTCCCCCTCGGAGTTCCTCTCAGTCTGTGCTAACCGTGTTAACCCAGAGCTGATTTAATTCCAGCCAAAGGTAAAGAAATCTGACATGGGTTCGCCTGGGCAACCGCTTTCAGGAAACGTTATGATTTCCAGTAAGCTTTGTGAAATATTAAAAATATCAATGACTACCTTCATAGCTGTCTAAAGGTCCTGCGTCCCCAGGTTTGACCCCATCTCCTTGTTTCATTTCAAGCTTTCTGTACAGAACCCAGGAGGCTGAATACTCTCCACAAAGAGGCGGGTCTGCACCGTCAGGTCTGGCCTTCAGGGTGTCCAGGGACAGCAGCAGAGAAGTCCTAGTAACCCATTGTCACTGCACATCCATAATGTGCACCCAGGCAAGGTTGAGTCACCTCCCCAGTATTTAATCTGGATAACTCACGCCCTAGCTGGTTTGGCTCAGTGGTTACAGGGTAGGCCTGAGGACTGAAGGGCCCCGGGTTTGATTCCAGCCAAGGGCATGTACCTCGGTTGCAGGCTCAGTCCCTGGCCCCGGTCTGCTTGAGAGCAGGAGGCAGCCAATCAATGTGTTTCTCACATCGATGCTTCTATCTCTCTTTCGCGTGCTCTCTCTTTCTTTCTCTCCCCCTTCCGCTCTGTCTGAAAAACAATGGGAAAATTACCTTTGGGTGAAGATTAAAAAGTAAAAATAATTAATCTTGATAATTCATGAGGTGGGCACAGTATGCCACCCCATTTTTCAGCCTAGAAAACCCAGGCCCTAGGAAGTAATGTGGCTTGCTGGCCAAGGCCAAGGCTAAGGCTGTACAGCTACAGTGGCAGAGCTGGGATTTGTGTCCAGCTGGTGTAACTCCAAACCCCGCACTCTTAACCCTCTGCTGCATCCACGAGAAACCCACAATCACTGTGCCTGACCTGAGCAAGAGAGAAGTGCCTTGGCCTAATGCCTATGCATAATCACTAAGATATTTTGGTGGGCTCATTGAAAAGAACAGCACCTAAGGACTGGAAAGTAACAGTGAGATATTCGCCCAGCTCCCAGAAAGGGCAGGCAAGGCATGTCTGTCTTTCTGCAAAAACGTAAAGGAAATCCTTTAGTCCCTGAAATGGTTGTCCCTGTGTTCATGAAGAGGTCTGACCAAAAAAAAAAAAACAAAAAACCCAAAATGGTCTTCCTTCCTTGTTAATCTTTAGACTTTCCCTTACGGACAGTGAATTGGTCTGCAAAGCAAATGGAAGACTGCATTTCTCTGACTTCTTCCACTCTGCTCCATCAGAGATCAACTCCCAGCCTTTTGCTGAAACCCCTTGCCTTGTAGCCTATCACTCTCTGTCTTTTCCTTACCATGCACTGAGGGGTTTCATGAGTTTTGAGGATGGTATAGATGCCTGAGTGCTGTACCAGGTGCATTTCAGAGATGTCTGCTCACTTCTTGATTGGCATAACACAAGAGTTGTCACATCTGAGCTTAGCTCATTGCAATTGCTCAGAAGGCATCTGCAGAAAGAGCATCCTGCCTAGAAGTGTCCAGGCTGGGTTCATGTGTGAGCTGACCCATCAGAAGGGGCAGCGAGGATCACAGGCTGACGCCTGGACCCAGCCACTGCTATGGAATTACCTGGATGGAGGCAGTGCCCACTGAAGGCCATGTCCCTCCTCCCCAGAGTTCTGCTATTTGCCCACTGTCCTGGGATCTCAGCAGGAAGCAAGACCACAACGTACGTCTCTGCAAGTTCTTCTCTATGCGTGTTCTCCCCTCCCCCGAAGAGAGGGCATTTTATAAGACTTTATCATTTTAAAGCAAGGGAACAGCCAAAAAATGCGGTTCAGAAACATGGGACATTTCATGAGAAATGACTGGCTCATCCCCATACATTCTATCAGTTTCACTGTGGTCAAAAGCAGGTGTTTCCAGTCTCTGAGTAAGTAGCCTGCATTTTTCAAAATTAACAAATTCGACCTACACTGAGGGGAAAAAAAACCAACCATAGAGAGCCCACCAGAGAACTGTTTACCGAAGAAGATGAAGCTCGTGGTGGTGGTTTGCAAACAGCAGCAGACTGGCTTGTGTAAATTCCCTTCATGTAGTCATCGTTCTTCAGCCTGTCACAGATACTGAAGGGAAATGCAGAAACAGGAAATTACAGACTATTTTAAACAGCGTGTTTTATTAAACTCACTTGCTGATGCACTTTATGGCAGGATGCGAGACTCAAGTGTTCATAACTTACATTTTTGCAAGTGCTTCTCCTAAGTGAGTTCTCCCAGCTAAAATATGGCTTGTACACAGGGCTGGAAACAATCTCTAAACCTGTAACTGTTTGACCCCGGGTCATGTAGCTACATCACATAAAATGGAGATGTTTGAGCCATGGGAAGAGGGTGTACTTCGCTCACCCATGGTAACTCTAAGAAAGCGATGGAGGCATCCAGTAGTAACTTCAAAGACCCTTAATGCATTTCTTTTAATCCACAGAATCAGAACACAGCCATCTTAACATAAGTGACCAGCAACCATACATCGTCTCTTTTATTATCTAAATAGTGATTTCATTCTTGTCCTGGGACAAGTCGGCCTCTAGTTTAAACCATCACTGCTAATGCCATGCCGAAGCCTCGTTTTTGAAATTGGCAGGGATGTGATCACCTTAACTATGAATGAAGTGACTTCGAACTTAAGGGACTGTTATAAAAATGGATTTGATCAGCTAATTATTTTCGAAGACATTTGCTGCTCACAATTTGAGGGATATAGAAACCTAGCTGTATCGCCTAAGAATCCTTACGTCCGTCTGACATTTGTTGTGAGGATGACATCTCTTTAGCAACACCCATGTCTTCTGCAAGGTGTTCCGGGCTCTCCTCTCGATACAGGGAAAGGAAGTTGTCGAGTGGAGCTGTAGCACAAGCTCATGATTGGAGGGCTGGGTAGCCACACTTTGACCGAGTTATCTATGAGCTCTAAAAGCAGATCCCTTCATTCACTTGCTTCAGTGTTTAACAAAGGAGCATGTAAAATGGTTTAATTTCTATTGTCTTAAAAGATTACACCAAGCTGCTTTACTCTAATGGTTAACTGGTTGTCAAATATAATTCCAAAGGTTTCGAGTAATTTCTCCCTTCCTCCAGGGTCCCTGTCCCTGCCGTCTTGTTCCCAGGACCCCTTTCAAGGTGAAGTATGGAATGGTAGGATTTTAAGAGTGAAAGCATATGATCAGGATTACCTTTGCCCTTTTAAAGAGGCCTTTATAGACCATCTTCCACAATCACCCACTTCTAGAGAGGAAGGGCCAGAGACAGAGGTTAATGATTTGGTTAATGACATGCACCTAGATGCCTAGGGGAGTAGCAATTAAAGGCACTCTTGGGGAGCTGGGCCATTTTCTTAAGTGAAGATTTCCCCTCATTTAACTTTTCAAAGTCTGGATTCTGCCACAACAGATTTTCCTTAAAGCGGAGCAGCAATGAGAAAAGCTACTTCCAAGTGGGGAGACAAGCAGTATGAGGTGAAAGGGGGTGTCTTAGCTTTTCCAGTCTCTGAGGATATAATATAGAACCCAGGTAATAGGTTTAACTTACTACTTAAGGGGTGCCATGGCCCTTCCGGAAAGACCCAGCTTAGTGTCTCCTGAGTGGAGATGACAACATGGCCACATAGGAGGCCCTGATGTTCTCATACCAACAACAGGAATGTTTTTGTTATTTAGGTAGATGATTCGGGATTCTTTTTTTGGTGATGAAAAAGTATTCCTTTTAGCATGTTGGAAATGTCCTAGAAACCAAAATCTGATGACTAAAAACCACAAATGTTAATGCTGCTGGGCTCAAAGGCACCACTTGCCTGCAAAGGAGTTCTGGCGGGTTCTACTGAGCAGGGGCTGAGCCCACAGCTCAGGTGAGTGCTGTGAAATCCACCAGCTCGCCATTTCCAGATCTGCCATCAAGAAAAACATCTGGTGGTGCGGGGCTTTTAAAAAGCAAGAGGATAACTCCTTTCTTTCATATTTAAATCTCCATCATGTATTATACTCATAAGAATGCTACATTTGACAAATTAATTAGCTCCCAACTAGTGTTCCCCTTTCTTCAAATAAAATATTAGCCTCTTAGAATAACATTAATACGGAATTGTATGGAATACTATTAGCAATAATCTGTAGCCGGTTTAACCATTTACGTATGGGTCATGTTTTTGACAACTTGACATTTCCTAAAGGAATTAACTAGGGGTCAGTATTTATAGATTCATCTTATGCGATTTTTTTCAGAAACTTGGCAAGAGCTAAAGTCTTTAGGTTCTTTAAAATAAAACCTTATTGATGACCAATCACATCATTTATTAACATTGCGCTCTTAATCCACAGAAATCTAAACCTACAGACTAGGACCACTCTAAAACATCTGTCATATTGACCTCTTCGAGTAAAAACTCCTGTGTGACCACTGCCCACTACAGTTTCTAGACGTTTTGAGTTGGGTCTTTTTTAAAGGTGAAAGAGCAATGGAAAAGAGAAACATGGCCGGTAATCATTAAAATAGGAACATCTTAATGAATTTTGATCATTTTAATAAATATATATCAAGAAAACCTCACTTTATTACAACACAGTCATATACAAGCGTCTATCATCTAAGTTTTCAACATCAAATGTTTATCAAATATTGAAAATAAAGGACAAACCTTACTAGACTATTTAGCCATAACACAAGAACATGTTTTAAAAATTGGTCCTTGTGGACATTGTCCAAATGATGATCCTACTCATACACTGTATGAATGAGACCTATATTTAATATTAATAGCAATAATAAAAAAGCTTTATCTTGGAGAAACTGGGAGGACTTCCTTATTTCCTCCGTTTGGCATTTGGTTCCTGTGCAGTGCTGTTTAAGGAGGCCCAAGTCAAGTAGTAACCTTGGAAATTGGAACACAGCTTCGCAGGAGGAGTTGGCTGGAGTAGAGGGAAGGAGGGTCAGAGGGCCACTCTGAACCCTCTTACAAATGTACAAATTAAAGAAATTACCGAGAGAAATGTTGACCAAATACATAGTAGCTATCGCCCACTGAGTCCCATTTCTCCAAAATAACTTTCCCAAACCGAAAATCTTTACATTCTTTAAGATAAAACCTTATTGATCACCACATCATTTATTAACATTGTGCTTCTTAATCAACAGCAAAAGTTATATAGAAAAAACCACATGCTTTTATAATCTAAACGAGTGAAATGATGCAAAACAGATTAAAATATAATGCATGCCACTGGTTCATGAACTTCATTGGACAAGAAAACCAAACCGAACCAAACGACCCAAAACCCAAAAAACCCAAACCCCAGCAACAGACCGTTGCCGTAGAAAAGCCCAAGCAGCTAGCGCTGGTTTCCAACAGCTCTCTCTATTGTTTCCTCCATCCCTTTCTAAAAAATGCCAAATTCCGAAACAATTGGGCATCAAAAACAAAGGAACAGAGATGTGGAATCAAAAGTTGAACGCAACAGCTCGAAGTTAACGGTTTCCAAACAATATTGATCCACCCTGTGTGTTTTTTCCTGTTTGTTAAATCCCTGCTGTAACTCTGATTTATCCTTAATTTTCACATTGGCAAAAATTAAGATAAAGTAAGGCACCGAAAATCGCCCTGTATCGCACTTCGCTAAAAGCCTCACCACCCCTCGCAGGCAGGCGGGCCCTTGCAGGGAGCCCCCCGCACGCAGTGCTGGCTGCCGCCCCAACACAGGTGTGTTTCACTTACGTCCCGTCCTGTCTTCATCTGTCACAAATACTTAACAGCACCATGAAGCCATTTCACCTAGCTCCCTGTCTTCAGTCTCTCACTCAGAAAAAAATACTGTATCATATAGACGAAGCAGACATCCTTTGCTGGTTATGTTGATGTGTTTACCAAATAACTACCGAATTAATTGGCAAACGTTGAAGTTTCTTAGCTAGTGACAGGCTCCTTGGGGAGGGGGGGATAATGGAAATATCACAAGGGCACACTACTGTCCCCCAGTTCTAATCTACTGGTCTTTTCTGTGAGAAAACTAAGACAGACTTGTAAGCATTAAGTCAACTGCTTTCTTGGTAAAATTACCACATTTCTAAGTAGCTCGCAGATGCCCTACTGTACAGATGTTTTATGCAATCTGCTCTCCAGGCATTAAAACGACACGGCATGTTCATGGCATAATCGCATCAGTTGTACAAAACTAGAAAATCCATTCGGAATAAAACGTACGGTGCTAACCGATCATGCTGTGCATGCGTCAGAGTCGAGGTGGAAAGGTGGCTCGGGTTTTTACTTCCTTTTGCTGCAGCACAGTTTGTTACTCGGTGAAGGCTCCTTTTTCCTTAAGGACTTTTTCCAGGACTCGCTTACACTGTTTTTTTCATTACAGCCGGTCTCAAAATAATCATAAAATTGGCCTTTGCACTCAAAAGCAAGGTCACTTCCCACAGGTTCATGGCTTAGGGGGCCACCAGCCCTGTTGGTGTCATCACCTGCTTCCTCATCATTTAACTTGGCCTTTTCCTGACCGCCAAGTGACCTGACATTAGTAACAAAGATTTCGTTGGCAGGTATCTGGCCGTCGCCCTTATAACCCGGTGCGCCGCCAACATCAAAATCCACCTGGTGGGAGCAACTCGGTAAAGGCAGAGGCGAGGAAGCCGAGGCCGCAGAGGAGGAAGAGGCACTTCCGACGCTGGCGTTGACAGAGAGGGGTAAATTCAGGTAGTGGCCACCGCAATCTTGGTAGAAGCAGCAGGCGTGAATCTTCTCACACTCCTCTTTGGCCACCCGCGGGCGTTTTCGGTAGGGACAGTCCTGAGCCATGAACCACTCCTGGGCAGGGGCGCCATTGAAAGAGCAGGCGGGAAAGCACCAGTTATTCTGCATGATAATTTCTCCATGGATCCTTTTCATCAGATTGTTTATAAGGACAGATCTTCGGAGGTACACTTCGGGGTCGTCGATGAACTTGAGCTTTTCTAAGGACATGTAAAGGATGTGGGCTCGTTCCTCAAAAATCGAGATGGTCTGAAAAGCAAAACAGGGAGAGAAAGCTTAGGAAATGGACTGAATGAATAGGTCATCACAACAGCTTTCTTTCTTGGCAGTTCCTGGACCCGGGAATGTTGTGGCCCTTGTTTTCCCAGGTTCATTCAGAGGTGTTGCCCCCGGTCCCCTTCCTGACTCACCAGGGAATCCAGTCACAATGCAGAGCTCAGCAGGGACAGGCCAGATTGTTGGCTCTTTAATGGCACAGTGAGGGGGACAGAAAAGACACTTAACTGCGCTGTAAGAAGTCAAGGGAGTAGTTTTCCGGAGGGCAGAGAGGTAGTGACTAGAAGGGGGCACACGGAGGGGTTCTGGGTTCTGGTTATGTTGCTTCTTGATATGGATGCTGGTGACATAGGTACATTCACTGTGTGAAATTCCTCAAGCTGTACTTTTATGGTACTTGTGCTTTTATGTGTGTGATACACATGCACATAAGCACACATACTCATATATTGTATGTCAATACATGGTTTTAAAAAGATGCCAGCATGCAACTCATAACGAGTACACTTCAAAGCCTGGCAGAGCCATCAAGGGGCATGAGACCTGACTCTCTGTGCTGTCCCTCTTTTCAATCCTCTGGGGGTGACACTTGCAATTATCTGTGCTCAGGAGAGGGTAATGATAAGGAATGATGTTCAGAACCTGAAAGGATCTGAAGGGCCAGGCAGGGGGAGGGATGCAGAGAAGGAATGGGAGGACTCACCCCTGAGCGGGGTGATACCATCACCGTGTGACGGTTGGTACAAATCCAGCGGCAACTGGAAAACTGCTACAACCACAACACAAGCTAAAGAGGAAATAAACCGTGTGTGTCCCGGAGGCCAGCTATTCCAGCTCATAAAAAAGCCAAGTGGTAGCATAACCCGAGGAGCTGGGAACTGAACCAGCCCCGACTGACCAAAGGCAGGGACAGCGCATGCAGGGAAAAGCCCAGCACCTGCCAATGTGTGCTGATGTCTTCACGAGCAGGGTCAAAGTGGCATCTAAAGGACAGGGGTGGTGATGGGGGGTCGGGGAGTAAGAAGAGACAGAGAGAAAGATGAAACCAAACAACTAAAAATCCTCTCCGCATCTCAGACATGAGGGTCTGGGTTGATTAAACCAGCAGCTGTTTTTTGAAGGAAGGTCCCCATAAGGAAAAGAAGCCGGTGTTTGAAAAGCTCAGTCTGGCCAGTTTCATACGTCTCCGCACTTTCCTGATCCTGTTATTTTCTTATAATACGTGCAAAAAAGTTAGCTTTGGTGTTTTCTTGGGAATGGATGATATATTCTAACAAGCTAAACATATGTGCATGTTTCTACTTTCATGCACACATTCAAGGGAGTGCGAGTCCACCCCTACGGGGTTGGGCAAAGCCTGGGGGAGGCACACACAGGGGGGCGCTGGCCACAGGAGCTAGAGCTCATCAGGGGAGCACATCAGGGAAGGGCAGGGACCTTCAGCACATGGGATCCCCAGGACCAACCATAACCCTGAACACAACCTGAGAAAAATGAAATCATTTGTAAAGAAGACGTTCCTTGGATTATATACTTTTGTTATTTCTGGGAAGAGGAGCTTCTACTGGCTCTTTTTTCAACTCCTTGTGAGAAATAATGCAAGACCCAAAAAAGTGACAACGATCGATACGGCGCTGATGAGAAGTAGCTCCTTTTCATTGCTTGGGTGGAACAATTTAATTTTTGGACATGGATCAAGCAACCATTACTCAGTATCTTAAACTCTTAATAAAAATAATGACTATTAAAAAAACATACTTTATGGCTACAGCTGCTGAGTGGTGGGTGAAAATCCTCTTCTTCCACATACTTCCTCTTAAAATATGTGATCTTGGATGTTGTTATAGGATTTGAAATTCCCCTGTAATGTGATCCTGTGGTAATAAATCAGATAGGACAAATGACATGCAGTTCGCCAGAGGTTCTCCAAACAAAATACTTTTCTTTCCTTTCCTTCTAGAAGATAACTTGGCTACGTATCTGTCTGTACATGTGGTGATTAAAAACAAACGCTTGTCTTAATAGTTGCTATCATACAGAATCCTGTGACCCGAGCCAGGCAAAGCTTTCTAGACAACCATAGAGGAAAATGACACATTTCAGCATTTACTAAATACTCAGATTCTTTGCACAGGCAAGCTCAAAAAGGAAGGAGTGTAGCAACTCTGAAATAATGTTACTATTTATTCAAATTGCTTAATTAAATCCATGGTGCCATAACACCACTGTTCAAATACAGGGTGTCCCAAAAACGTATACACACTTTAACAGCTGATAGCTCAATTTTGAAAATGAAATGTATTTTAATAAATACTGACTTTTATAATTATTCAAAGTGTGTGTGTACATTTTCAGGGGACACCCTGCATATACATACTAAACTGTAAGCACTAATAATTAAACTTTAAAGTATTATTGGCTCTGAGTAAGGAAAGAAATGATTACCTGTACATTGGAGTCACAATATTTCTTCTTTCAAAATATAAAATTTTAAATTAAAATTTTGGGTACCTAAAGTCCTCTTTGCTCTCAAAAATGTAACATGTGAACCATGAATTCAAGTAGGGTCTAATTTTCAAACACCACAGCTGTTCATCCTTTTTAGCAAAACAGACTTCAGGGACACTTGTTTTACATTGTAGGGGGTTTTTTCCAATTGCTAGTGCTGCACAAAAATCCAAAGGAACTTACCTTAAAATATTAGAATAAAGAATAAGAAAGAAAACATTTCTATTTTCTGAGCTTGGACTTTTTTCCCCTACAATACCAAAGCCAACTGCATGCTTAATAAAAAGAAGAGACAGAGCTGCTGGCCCAAAGTGCAGATTCCTTTTTGTCCCATGGGATGGGGATTTCATTGTCAAGCCCACGGGGGCTTGTCTAGCTCTCAGAGAGCCATGCAGTTCTACAGCATAGAAAACCAAAACCCAAACTGAGTTTCAAAATCTGGTTTGGTTCTCTTAAAAAAGAAAAAAAATAGACACATGGCTTATACATGAAGCAGCAGCACATGTCTGGACTCAGATTTGAATGCAATTTAAATATCACCTCTGGTCTTGTCCCTGGAGGCCTGGGCTCACTTACGGGAGGTGCACAGGCCGCCTGGAAAGTCCCTGGAGCTGGGCTCAGCTCAGAGAGGCGAAGCGCCGCAGACACCACCTCCTCCCACCAGTCTGGCCTCAGAGGGCAGCAGGGGAAGGTCAAGAGCAGTACCTGCCAGCGGGGGGCCGGCTCCCCGGTCTCCCTGCAGAGGAGCCTGTGCTGGCCCTGGGGGGCTCGGGCCTCCGTAGCTGTCAGCCTCCCATAGTGTCTGGTACCCTGCAATTTCAGCAGCTCCTTCCGAGACAATGGGCTCGCAGAATCTATTCATGGACAGAACCAGAGTCATCTCTGACAGCCTCAGATCTGTAAAAACAGAAAACAGCCCTAAGCAAGAGGAAGCCAGGCAATAGCCTTGGCATCTTCATCCCTTGGCCTTGGGAAACTTCTACTTCATGGTCCTCTCCTTTACCCTGAAACATTTTATTGTTTTTTTCAAAGAGAACCTCAGCAAACTCTCAGCCTCTGCGTTCTGCAATCTGCATTACATGGGCGGATCTTTAAAATCCCATTTCATATTGTTCTCAGATTCCCCTCAGCCCTCTTCAAGACAGCTGCTTTGCCTCCTAAACACATTTTCCTTCTGACCTCACCGCAGAAAATGTACCGCTAGGAGGCAAGGCCAAAACCCTTGCGCTTCCTTCCTATTAATAAGGCAAAATCAATTTTCCAGCCAATCCCCCGAGAGTCTCCTTTGATGAAATCCGCTAATCAATCAAAAGAAAAGGGCAGGGGAGGCAGCAAGCTCCACCGGAATCCCTACTGATGGTCTCAGGCTCGGCTGTTCCGCTGCCCCCTCCTCCTCTCGTTTCCGCAGGGCCAGTTCCTCTACAACATTCTGGGGCTCCCTCCACTTTCTTCTCCCAAAGCGAAGCAGACAGAGACACACTTGGTAGTTGTTTCCACCAGCCCTGATCGGCCTGAACTGGATCTGCCTCCAGTCAAAACACTGAGAGATGAAGACAGAAAATTGGCTCCAGTTTCAAGCCGTGAGTTGCAGTCCCACAGGAGCCAAGCACAACATCAACGGAGCAGGCAGAATATTAAACAGGAGCCAGGGCTTCGGGGCCAGAGGCAGCCGACGACTCCTTACACTGCAAAGCCCAGACACAAGGCAGGAACTTTCCAAGAGGCAACACACCACTGCCCTTCTCTGCAGTTCACGTCCTTCCCCAGGGCCTCCAGGGAGACAGCGAGCCTCTTTGCTCTCTGATGAGCCCTGGGTTCCTCCATAACTCAGGTGTGTGTGTGTTGGGGGGCTCATTTCCACGGGGGCTCAGTGTCTTCACTTGGTCCCAAGTAGGGTTCAAGGTAGGGTCAAGAGTGAGTTCAAGGAAGAAAAGGGTCTGATACTGAAGTAAAAAGACCCAGGGGCCACAGATCAGTGGTGACAGCAATGCAGCCTCCTCGGTGGCTTACTGAGTGCCAGTTCCTTTAGGAGAGCCACACCTCCACAATCTCACTTTGCAGTTTAAAGAACTGTCACAAAGAGTGATGTCAGGCCTGCTTTCTGCACATTGACTGTCTTTCAAACATGCATGAAGGGTCTAGTTCTTGCTCTCTTCTCCAAATTACACATCTTACAGTGTTTGGGGGAAAGGGTGAATCTCCCATTGTCTCCTGGGAGACTATTATTACCTACATGTTGTAACAAGGGTCCACTTCCAGGTAAAAAGACACCAGGGGCAGGGAAAATAGCTTCATTAAAGTGACAATGTCCCTCTGGCTAGCAGAGCAGCTCTTGGCAGCAGTGACTCCATCATTCAGCCAGGTTTCTCTTTGAAATCCTAAATTCCATCCCAACCTCACTGAAGGAAGCAAAGCCTCCTGACAGACAAGGGAGGTGTCCAGGTCAGGGACTGGAATGAGACCCATCTGACTTGGGCTTCTAAACCACCTACCTCATCTCTTTCCAAATGCCCTCCAAAGAGGCAGCAGCTAGGGCTTATTAGAAAATCTTATTACAAAAGGAAAAAAAGAAGTTCAATGGATTCTCTAAAAAGAAATGGTGGGACATGTCATTAATTTTGCTCTTTGAGTCATCAACGAAAAAAATCTAGACTACATTGACTTAACAAACTACACCATTCTGTCTGTCACCACCTCAAACTCGGCATCCAAACAAGTTATCAAACCTCATGATAATTTATTCTCTGGAAGACTCTCATGAAATGGTCCAAACTGAAATTCTTAACCTATTTTCAGACCATTGCATCAGCAAGTGCTATTGCCATGCACATATGAATTACATAGCTTTTTCTGACGCAGTAGTCCTCTCTTAGTGACTGCAACAATATTTTCCAGTTTGAAATTTACCCTCCCTTTTGTGCTGGATTCTGGGAATAAAATCCAAGCTTCGTGCTTAGGAAGAACTTTGATTACATCTAAACCAAAGCAGGTTGACAAACCCATGTCCCTTAAGAAAGGAAAGTATTTGCAGGCCCTGAGCAGCAATTACCTTTGTTTAATAGGATATTATGTGGGCCCTGTGCTGTTTTATGTCAGTTAGAGTTTGTTTATATTTTAAGGACTTATTGTTGTAGCTTTTTGGGTTGTTAAGGATTTCAGTGTTTCTATTTGTTGGTATTGTTTCCAGTACATAAAATTCTATCATTATGCATTTGAACTTGAAACATGAACTTGAAACTCAGCAGAATTGTTTTTATATTGGCTGTTGAGGTTTTTTTCCCTTTATGATACCTAATTTCAGCAAGTTTTTCTTTTCTGAATTGAAAACTTTTACACACAAAATCCTAACCTGGAGAGGCTGAGTTCCACAGCAACTGAGTCTTTCTAGTCTATCTAGAATTTACAGTCGAGGATGTTAACAATGAAGAAGGCAAGTTTAAGGCTCATGAAGAATTGGAGTGTGCAGCGCTAAGCACCAACGTTTCACGTGACTCTTTACTCGTGTTATATGTACAGATCCAAACTGTCATTATTCTCTGTGTGATGACATTTACATATAATTCTACTGCCGAATTCAGAAGTCTAAATCCACAAATTTATGTGCCGTTAATATTAAAGATAGCCACCCAGATGTACATTAATGGCAAAATTTGCTTAACATGAGAGGTGAGTGGATTTAAAAAAAAAGGTGTTCAAAAAACAAAAACAAAACAAAAGAAGGGTGTTCAAGTGTGTTTTGTCTGTACATGGGTTTAAAAAAAAATTAAAAGGCTCTAACCTTTTATCCTCAGGCTCCTGAACATCTGTTTTGGGAGCCAAGTGGATGCAGGGAATGACCCCTCAAGCATCCCCAGAAGGCTAAGGGCTAAAATGTCAAGCTTTTCCAGCAAATGCTCACAGTAAAGTTACCAGGCATCTCTATACAGTTTGGTTTTTCCAGATGAGTTGGGCTTTCCCCCCCCCCCC